TAAAAAATGGTAAAAATAAATAAATCATATACACATGTATATATGTATAGACATAGATATTACAAGGAAAGGCCACTGGATTTGGCATCTAAGAAATCATTCGTAACTTTAGGGAGAGCAATTTCAGCGGAATGATGAGGTCAGAAGCTGGATTGTAAGGAGTTAAGAAATAAGTGAGTAGAGAGAAAGTGGAGGCACCTATTGTAGATGGCCTTTTCAAGGAGTTTGACCACAAAGGGCAGAAGAGATAAAGGATGACAGTGAGGATGAAAGGATCAAGTGAGGGTTTTTTTGGGGATAGGGGATACATGGACATATTCATAGGCAGTAGGAAAGAAGCCAGTAAACCAGGAGAGATTGAAGACAACTGATATAGTAGGGGTGACAGAGGGGAGGTAGTCTGTTGGAGGAGATGGAAAGGACTGAGATTGCTTGTACCAGTGGAGGAGGAGGCCTTCATAAGGAGTAAAGATATGTCTTTGTGTGAGGGATGAAGGAGGAGATAGTGACAGAAGGTATCTGAGGTATAGGGAAGAGTTCACAGCAAATGGCCTCAATTTTTACCTCAAACAGGTGAAGGGAAAATATTAACTCTTCTTTGTCAGAAAGAAGTAAGAAGACTGATAGATGTTCTCAGACCACATGAAAAACAGGTTAAAAACCTACAAAAATGAGGGGCAGCTAGGTGGCACAGTGGATAGAGCACCAGCCCTGAAGTCAGGAGATCCTGAGTTCAAATCTGGCCTCAGACACATAACACTCGCTAGCTGTACGACTCTGCGCAAGTCACTTAACCCCAATTACCTCACTCAAAAAAAAAAAACCCTACAGAAATACATTGGGAACAAATACACATCACTTCACTAAGCAACAGAAAAAGCTGGCAAAAGGTACATGGTGCTGGATATTTCAAATGCATACAAAAGTGGTTTAGCTCCCAATTAAATTTATGAAATGCTAAGATCTAAGTACATTCCGTGTGTGACACTTGCATGAAAACAACCAACAATATGTCTACAATTCTTTGCTGGAAAAAAAAATGGCTGTCTTTGGATTGATTTATAGAAAGGAGGAATTTACGGTGTCAATTCAGGATCAGGTCACCAGAAATTTTAGATGGGTTATTATCCCCATGGAGATCAAATTTAAGCAACAGCAGAAACTATGCAACACATCACTACAGATTGCAAAAATCTTAGCACCTACTGAACACCTAACAAGATATATAGGTGACCAGACTTATACAACAAAAGTGCACTATCTCTCATTAACCAATGGACAATGAATCCCCTCAAGTCAAATACAGATTCCAAAATATCTTTGAGACTTCATCAAATAAGCTGACCTGGAAAGTGAATGATATTGCAGACAAAACTCTTGGCCACAATCTCCTGGACATAACACTGAACCCTAAAAATTTAAAAATGTTTTTGACAAATGATGCCATAACTAATACACAACCTCTCTAAGCTTCATTGAATGAAAAGCTTTTAAAATGGAAGACCAAGTGGAAGAAATAAAAACCATGTGGGAACCAGATGTGGTACATCTCCATCATCCCATCTGCTACTGGAGTTATCCCAAGGATGCTCTCAGTGATCCTAAAATAAGTGAACTTCATATTAATACTTAAAAAGTAGTTATTTTATCCACCTATACAAAAGTTTATGGAACATTAGATAGAAAGAATAATAGGATAACAACTTGTCCCAGAACCATTTAACAATCAATCAATAAACATTTATTAAGTGCCTACTATATTTCAGGCACTGTACTAAGTGCTAGGGATACAAAAAGAGGCAAAAGACATCCTTGAGTTAAAGGAGTTCACATTCTAATGGATTTCTATCTTATCTCTATCAAAAAAAAAACATGGATGAGTTGATACTTACACAGTGCTTTAAGGTCTATAACACGCTCTTTGTATATAGTGGGAATAGATAACCTCCTCCTGACCCCCTCGAGTGCAGGACCTTGGGTCACTTCTGCTATGTTCTATGTTTCAGCTAAGTGCTGAAAGGTTTGATACTTCAGGGTGATGCAGTAAATCCCAGTTGGTCCTTTGGCATTCCCCATAATGGCTCCAGCTGTGGGAGACTGGATCAGTTAAAAATGTGTTTCTGTACTCAGTGCCATGCCACTTTCTTTTCCACCTTAGCCTGGAATTTGTGGCTAGGAAATCCCTCTCTTGGATTTCCTGAAAGGGCTGGGAGGGCAGCATTTCTTCTCCTTGGCAAAAATTTCAACTGCTCACACGTGGCTGCTGGAGCAGGTATCCATCCAGGTGACCCTAAGTTGGGATATCTCTTCTGTTTCTTTTCCTGAGCATAGATACCCAAACAATAATCCTGAGATGGATGTTTCTAGCCTTGGTTTGTGAATTTGAGATGTCAGGAGCTCCTAGGTCCCTCTGTCAGTGCTGGCTGAATGAAAAGAGGTGCCTCCAGTAGCTACTACAGTTTTCTTGGAGGGGAAGATGACCACAGACAGGAAGATGAGCACAATCACTGGTCTAATTCTCCAGAAAATGTGTATTTTGATGGAATTGTTCAGAAAGTAAAGAGCTGAGATGTAACGTTGAAATGTCTACTCAACAATCTCACTATATACTTTGCGTTTTACTATGTTAAGTATCAATCTCCTGGGAGAGTGCAATAGTATCTATAAGTAACTGCTTTATGTTTAAGGCTTTTGTAAATAAATGCTTACAATTCTTTTAAGAATTTCTTTTGTGTAAGGGGCAGCTAGGTGGCGCAGTGAATACAGCTCTGTCTGGCCTTGGAGTCAGGAGGACCTGAGTTCAAATCCAGCCTCAGACACTTAACACTAGCTATGTGACCCTGGCCAAGTCACTTACCCACCAAAAAGCCAAAAAAAAAAAATGTCTTCTGTGTAGGAAATAAACATCTGTCTTATACCTAATCAGCACTGTATATTGAGTAATATCTTTCTACTTTACCTTTGAGGGAGACCTTAAGTATGAGCCACACCTAAGCTTCAAGTGATTCTCTCCAGGGCTCTAAGGTGGGATGATAAAGAACTGGTATAAGAGCAAGGCTCCCTCAGGCCTGAACCCAATTTGTGTGCATGGGTCAGAACTGGGGGTCTCTTTAGGGAAAGGGTGAGTATTCCAGCTTTGCTGGCCTATTAGTGGCTCTGTGCTGTCACATATATATTATGTCATTTAAGCCTTCCATAATTCTATGAGGTAGGTAGGCTAGGGATAGGAACTGGAATTCATCATTTTAGGGAACTCCCAGATGAGGAAACTCTCTCTACCAATGCAGGCTGGCACCTTCTCTACAACTTAGAATCTTAGAGATCTATCTAGAGCCCTGAGAAGAGACTTACTCAGAATAGCAGATGTGTCAGAAGTTTTCTTGGCTTCCCAAACAGCTCTTGATCTATTATGCCATGCTGCCTGTCATGTGATGTAGATATCGCAACTATTATTATCCCCATCTTACAAGTAATTAAATAGTCTGAGATTAAATGGCTTGCCTATGGCCACATAGATAGTAAATATCAGTGGTGAGATTTGAACTCAGGACTTCCTGACTCCAAGTTCAGCACTTTATCTGCTATGCCTATATAAAGGATTTGATGGTATACTGATCCATTTTAAAGACAGCATAAGGCTAGGAGCTATAGTCAACATGTTGGATGAAAGGAAGAAGATCTAAAAAAGATCTTACCAAGCTGGAACATTGGGCTGAATCTAGTCATCCAAAATTTAACAGGGATAAACATAAAGACTTTTATTTGGGTTTAAAAAATCAACTTCACAAATCCAAGATGAAGGAAGTATGGGCTAGACAACTCATCTGAAAAAAGGCATGGGGAGTTTTAGTAGACTGCAAACTTATTCAACTGTTTGATACAGCAATGCAAAACATTAATACAGTCTTAATCTTCACTGCAAAAGATATCATATTTAGGAAAAGGTCCTGTTATATGGTGCTTTGGCCACACTACAATTTCAGCATTGTGTTTTGTTTAGGTACCGCATTTTTTGAAAGACATGAGAGAACATTCAGAGGAATTTAATCAGAATGATGATGGGCCTTGAAGTCATGCAATATGAGCACTGGTTGAAGGAACTGGGATTATTCAAACTGAAGGAGAGAAGACTTAAAGCATGTGTGATAGTTGTCCTCAAGTATTTGTAGGACTCTTATGTTCAAAAGGAATTAGACTTCTTCTGCATGGCCACAGAGGGCAGAGCTAGGAACAATAGGTAATAGTTGCCACAGGTTTAGACTCAATGTAAGAAAAAATGTTATAATTAAAATAGATGGGTTAAGCTAGATGCACTTGAGGTCTCTTCCCACTCTGAATGTCTTATTGCCTTCTCTCTGTCCTTATCATTGTCTTCTACCTGGTTCCTCTTTTTTTTTTAGTGGATTTAGGAGGCTACCTCCCCTCTCCAGTCCTAGCTATCATGCTCAGACATTTCAATATTCATATTGATCACATCACTCCTTTGATCTGATTACATAATCTCTAAACCTCCTCAAATTCAATAGCCTTCTTATCTGTTTCCTGAAAGTTGAATTTTTCCCTAGATTAATTTTCCCTTTTCCCTAAATTACTATATCTCCAAGCTCTGGAACTCTGAATTTCTCTTTGTTAAATATGACCTCCTATTCTCAGGCTCACAGGATTATGGAGCTGGATGAAGCTGTAGACATCATCAGTTTAATCTCATTTTACAAGTGAGGAAACTGAGGCTTAAAGTGGGCATATGACTTCCCCAAAGTCACAGATAAGAGATTTGAAGATCTCTTTTTAATAGCAAAAACATTGTCAGAGCCCCATTATGGTACTATTGTACATATTGGTACATATGGTACAGTTGTATTATTAGCATCCAATGATTTAGAAAATGTATGATGAAAGGCTACTAAGAACTCAGTAATGCTTTTAAATAATCTTGTATTTTTATTAATTACAACGTAATCTACACACATTTGAAAAAAGGTAATACATATTGTGAGATAATATTTATTTAGCCTACTGAAGGTATGTTTGCTTATTTATAATTCTACTTCACTTACACTGACGTTACTCCAAAAATCTGCTGTAAACACAGTTGCCTCCACTGAAAATGAAAATACAGCAACTGTTTACAGCCATAAACACAATGACTCACAAGTAATTCAATCAGCAAACTCACTGCAAGCCCTCTTGGTAGTGCTCACCATACTTCTATATGAAGGCTCCTTGAAGGGCACTGGAATCCATCTGGTTCTGAATGTTCTAATTGTTCTTTTCAGCATTCTCACTAAAATACATCTTATAAATTGATAAGGAAAAAGATATCCTGGGTAAATTAAGCATCCAAAACTGATCTCTGGTAGGAAAGTCTCCAAGCCCAAATAACCACTGAAATCACAAAAATTCACAAGCAACTACTCTCTAAAATATCACAATATAGTCTTAGAACCTTTCATCAGAGAAAAAAATATAAACTGGATTAAGCTGAAAGAGAAGATAATCATTCAAAACCAAATCAGTGAAAAAGTGAATTTGATACCTCGTGAAATCAGAGAGTAGACAACTCCAAAGACCCACTCTAGGAGAGGGCAGGTTTCAGCAAAAGTAAAGGTCATATTTCATTCTGAAAGGTCAGGAAAAAATTTTTCTTATTAGGCACAATTGAAACATCAATAATATAAAACTGGTCAACAAAAACCCCATTATTCATACTAAAATATTTCTTTGGAGTTAAAAATCAAAACAGCAGAGTTTGGTGTTCATATGGATTCAGGAACCTTTACAACACAATAATTTTGTAGCACCCAAGGACCCATGATATACGGCTGGGAACTACAGGAATAGTCCAATTCCCTAATTTTACCAGGAAGTACTGAATCCAGGTTACTTTCCACTATACCACACCAGAATCCTAACTTATTAGTTTCCCCCAGGAGCCCCTCCCCATGATCCTCTGCACAGTAACAACTTTGGATAACAACTTCATGCTGCCCAAATTCAACAAGCTCAAGGATTCTATCTTCTCTTTTAGGCACTCTAACATGGTTCTATAGATACACACAGCAAAGATGCAGTGAAGTTCATAGCAAACATCTCTGAAGTAATTTATGCTCCCCCAGCTCAGTACAATTATGTCTTTTGAATCCTCACCTCTCATTTTAGTGGCACCGCTCGTGATTAAACATCCCACCCTTTGGGAAACAATTAAGTTAATTAAGATTCTTTAAAGTCACCACTAAGTGCCATAATGTGGCAATTCTTCAGTTGTCTCTTCAACTCTTCCTCTAGGCTACTCCCCACCCAAGAGGTCAGACCAAGTTGATTCTAGGTTTTTCAGACCCAGGCTGGCAGAGCCATTCAGCAATTCTCTGTAGTGTAGGCCTTTTCACTTAATGCTCCCATCTACATCCTTCCCCTCTAAGACAGTTGAGAGCCTTTTTTGCAGCTAGATTTACCAGAGGAGAACTTCTATTCATCTGACTGCTGAATTACAGTAATACTTTATAAGAGGTAGCAAACAGTTAAGAGTACTGACCTGAAAGTCAGGAGAATTAAGTTCTAGGCTTCCTTAGGTCCATTACTTCCCCATTTGTGTCAGTTTCTTTCAACTTAGAACAACAAATTTAATTTAAAATATTTCTTAAATGCCTACATTTTCAAGGTACTGTACTGTGTTAGGGTCAGAAGATAAAAAGACAAAAGCAAACAAAAAATCCTTGCCCTTAAGGACATTACATTCTACTGTGATGCTGCTTAAGTTGTTTGAGCAGAAGAAATGCATGGTCACAGTTATACTTTAGGAAGATTGTTCTAGAAGTTGTTTGAAGGATGGAGAGGCAAGAGACTAAAAGCAGGAAGACCAATTAGAAGGGCATTAATTAACTAAGGTAATGTCTATGTGAGTGAAAGGAAGGGACTGGATTAGAAAGACATTGTGAAAAAAGAAACAGCAGGACATGGAAACTGATTGGATATAGGAGGGTTGAAGGAGGACTGTGGGAATTAATGAAGATCTAAAGATGGTGGTACCTTCAATAGAAAAAAGGGCAGTTTAGAGGAGGGACAGGTTTAGGAGGGAAAGTGTGAGCTTAGTTTTGATGCTAATAGGACAACTCGATGGGGATATTCAGCAAGCTTTTGGACATGTGTAACTGAAACTGGAGAAATTATCTCTAAAACCCAGTTTTATTTTTCTGTGATGCAATGACTTTCTTCCAACTACCTAAGTACCTATTCTATTTCTTACCACTCTTCAAATGTTGGTATTTTTTACATGTCAGGAACAGATGTTTCTCCAAGTATACACTTGTTTAGGAACCACATTAATTCACGGGATTTTAATTACTACCTATGTTCCCATGACAATCTCCAGTCCTAACTCCTCATACTCTTTCTCTAAGATGGGATTCTCATATAATGGTGAAGAAGGGAGTTGCCACTGAAGGAATTTACAGTCATCAATTTAGTCACTTATTGAGCAAGTATGTATTAAGTATGTCTCTAAAAAATGGCACAGGGCTGGATGCTATATATTCTGAATTTTAAAAAATTTAGCCATTACCCTCAAAAACTTTATAGTCTATTATAAGAATGTGACATACCACAGATTCTCCCATCTAGATTGTCCATTCTCAATGACTATTTCATTTACAAGTTAACTGGAGTCTAAGTTCTCTGATCTCAAATGAGAAATGATTGGTAAATAATGGCTTTTCTTTATATGTTATATTCACATGGCTTCTCTCCAGTATGAATTCTCTACTATCTGATAAGATCAGAACTCTGAAGGCATTTCCATGTTCATAACATTTAATTCAATTCAACAATTAACTAAGCAAGGTGCAGAGGTAGGGGAAAATGCAAAGTTTAACTAAGATTAGGTCACTGGCCTCAAGGAGCTTAGAGCCTAGTAGGTTGCTCCCTAGTATGAATTCTCTGATGTCGAATAAGTGTGGAGCTCAAACTAAAGTTTTTCCCACATACATTACATGCATATGGATTCTCCTCAGTATGAATTCTCTGATGTATAGTAAGATATGAACCACATCTGAAGGTTTTCCCACATGCATTACATTCATAAGGTTTCTCCCCAGTGTGAATTCTCTGATGTTCATTAAGGGTAGAATTTCGAGTAAAGGTTTTCCCACACTCATTACATTCATATGGCTTTACTCCAGAATGTATTCTTAGATGTTCATTAAGGACAGATCTTCGAGTGAAAGTATTTCCACACTCATCACATTTAAATGGTTTCACTCCAGTGTGAGATCGTTGATGTCGAATAAGGACTGAATGGCGGCTGAAGGCTTTTTTACATTCCTTGCAAATATAAGGTTTCTCTCCAGTATGGTATCTTTGATGATCAATTAAGCCTAAGAATTTACGGTAGGATTTTCCACACTCGTTGCATTTAAAAGGTTTTTTACCTGAATGAATCCTGTAATGCTGAAGAAGACTTGACCTGCTGCTTAAGCCTTTCCCACATTCACTACACTGAAAAGGTTTCTCACCAGTATGAATTCTGCAGTGTTCAATAAGGCGGAGCTGGCTACTTAAGATTCTCCCACATTCAATGCATTTACAAGTACCATCTCCAGTATGAATTTTCTGATGCTTCATAACACTGGACAATTGAGGAAAGTTTTTCCCACAGATGTTACATTCATAAGGTCGTTCCCCAGTATGAACTCTCTCATGACAATTAAGATTTGATTTTAGCCTGAAGACCTTATCACATTTGTTACATTTGTAGGGTTTTTCTCCAGTATGAATTCTTTTATGTTCCGTGAGATTTGAGCTACGACTAAAGCTTTTCCCACATTCATTGCATTCATAGGGCTTCTCTCCAGTGTGAATTCTCAGATGTCTTGTGAATCCTGACTTCTGACTGAAAGTCTTGCCACAATCACGACATCCATAACGTTTTTCTCCATTGTGAATTCCCTGGTGTTGAATAAGGGCTAAATGCTGAGAAAAATTTCGGCCTCTTCCTCTTTTAGGAATTCTTTGACGAGTTATGAGCTTTGAGCTCCAACTGAAGGTTTTACCAAATTCATCATACTCTTGGCTTTCATCTCTAGACATCTGGTTGTGAAAAATTGTCAGCTGCTGAGAGCCTCTCGATTGCAAAGCTGATTTACTCCATCTCTCCTCTAAGAAGTGTCTTGTCTGCCCTTCTAAACTGTTTTCCTGTCCAAAGACTAGGCCAAATTCTGCAGTTTGGACTATGTCCCTTGGGGATTTTTCTATCATATTTCCATATAGTTCAAATGTTTTAGGGATTTCCTCCCTTAGGGTAAAATTTTCATTCTCAGATTTGTTTTTAAAACCTGAAAAAAAAAAAAAGACAAGATGACCACTTCTACAGGAAGTAGAAGGAATTAAACCACAGGAGAAAAAATAATTATCAAACTGAAATAAAAGTAGAACAGAAATTAAAAAAAAAAACTTTCAAAGTGCTAGAAATGAGCAAGAGCTCCAATGAGAACATGGGGAGAGAGAAAAGGTATTCAGATGATCACCTCCAGGACAGAAGAAAAGGTGAGCCCAGTAAGGGGAAGGAGGGTTTGAGGAATTCTACCCCCAACTCCTATTCCAGGTTCAACTCCTTAAAATCCTCTCCGAGCATTTTAATTTACTCACTAGTCCACAAATCAGCTGTGCTCTCATTTTACACTCTCTCCAGTAGGATCCGATTTCACTCACTCACCACTGTAAACAACTGGATAAAGTTCTCCTTCTTCAGGCTCTTGCATATCCTCAACCCAGGACTCTTCTCCTTGCTCCAGCTGGGAGATAACATCAGGTTTGGAGAATGGAAGCCCTGATTTTAGGAAAGGACATATAGAACATGATTATTCATGCTAAAGCACCAGAACTTTCTAAGCTCACTCCTAGGCTGTATGTCTGCTGGGGCCAGATAGGGAATGATTTTTAAGCGATAGCTAATATACAGAAAGGTCCAACAAGAGATATTTGAATGGCATCTGAGTTGAGTTCCAAAATCTCTTTCTAGAAGATGGTTAGTATGGGAACGGTTGCCATAAAAATGACTTCTTACCCATTGACACAAAGTTTCCATAGTTCTCTAGCATCACATCTCTGTAAAGATCCCTCTGAGCAGGATCAAGCCATCCCCACTCCTTCCGTGTGAAATACACAGCCACATCTTCAAAGGTCACCAGCTCCTGAAACAACACATTTTTGCTGCCTCATGGAAGTTTGGAACGATTTTAGAATTTTAAAATATGTAGCCTCTCTATACAAAGGCAGTATGACATAGTAGGTAAACACCTAGCTGCAGTACCTGGAGGACCTGGATTCAAGTCATACCTCCAACACATGCTAATCATGTGACCCTAAGTAAGTCTTAGTGCCCCAAACAAATCTCTAAAACCATAAATGGCCAAAGAGTTGCTGATCAACACCGGTAGAAGTTTAACTACCAGGAGTTCCATAAACCAAGGAAATCATAGGTCCAAATGGGGGGAAAAGCCTATCTATAAGGGAGAACATGTTGCTTGGTTCCTATTTAGCAACTAGACATTATTTATGATCTTATGTATTTGGTACCTTGGTGAGAAACCTGAAAATAAAGTCTTCCCAACTTAGTATGTCATGTCAAAGTCCCCTCACTACTGCTTTACTCTGGTCATTTTCACTATGGCTTCTGCCCTTGGTGCCCTCCACACTATCCTTTCTACCTCTTGCTCCAAGAACTTTGGTAAAGATAATACTACCATTGTCTCTGGAAAGGTCACAGCAATCCTACTTAGTATCTTTGTGATTTCCCAGACAATAACTCCCCTCCCTCATTGCCACCCTCCAATGTGCTATTTTCCTCATAGGAGTTTTAATTCCAAGACAGCAGAGGATATCACAATTTTGTATTTGTATTTATAGCACTTCACACAGTACCTGACACATATTAAGTGCTTAATTAATGCTTTTCAGTAATTCATTCATTGCTCAGGCCCTCATCATCTTTCACCTAGAGCAGGGGTTCTTAACCTAGGTTCTGTTAATTAAAAAAAAAAATTTAAATACTCTGATAACCATATTTCAATGTAATTGATTCCCTTTGTAATCCTATATATTTTATGTATTAAAAAAATCATTATTCCAAGAAGGGATCCATCCTCTCCCCCCAAAAAAAAGAATCCATGAACTATACTATTATAAAATAATAAAAAATAAAAATAAAAAAATAGTAAAAGCCTCCTAACTAGTTTCCTTCCCTCCAGTTTACATCTCTCTCTAAAACTGATCCTCTGAACAGCTGTCAAAACAATCTTCCTCACTCGTAGGTCTCACCATTCCACTCCCTTGATAAGAAACTCTCAGTGGCTACCTGATGTATAAAGAATTGAAATCACAAACTCCTTGGCCATAATTTAAAACTCTTAGAATCTGACATAAACCAACTTTTCCAGCCTAATTTCCAAACACTTCCCTTTATGCATTCTACATGTTACAACCAAACTGGGCTACTGGTTGTTTCCTGCTTTCATTATTTATTCATTACTTCATTCATTCCTTATTTCATTTGTATCCTCAACATCCCTGTGACTTTACCCTTCCCTGGTCACTATTCCACTACATGTGTTGTTTCTATTAGAGTAAAAGCTCCCTCAGGGCAGAGACTGTCTCATTCTTATATCTGTATCTCCAGCACAGTGAGGGCCAATGAGTGTGGCACATAATGCTTACTGCTTTTTCATTCATTCTTTCATTCAAGTGCCAGAACAAGGACTTGAATCCAAACTCTCTGGCTCTAAGATCCATACTTTATCCACTACACCAGGCTAACTCATGATCTTTACTTACTTGAAATACATTCAGTTATTGACTATACATCTCCACCTCCAACTAGTGCCTTCCCTGGCTTCTGTTAAGTCCCAACTAAATCCCATCTTTTACAGGAAGCCTTTCCCAAGCCCTCTTAATTCTAGTGCCTTCACTCTCTTATTTCCTATCTCTGACCTATTTATAGCTTGTTTGTATATATTTGTTTGCTGTCTCCCCCACTAGATTGTAAAGTCCTTGGGGTCAGGGACTATCTTTTGTGGTTTTTGGTAATCCCAGGATTTTGTACAGTGCCTGGTACACACAAGGTGTTTAATAAATGTTTAATGATTAATGTACATGTTGGTAATGGGTTTTGTTTTCCTTGTGTTCACAACTGTAGGGTGGGTGGGAGGGTGAGAAGATAAACCTTGGACGATTAAAACAAGTATTTTTGAGTTTACTGATTACTGAAGTATTAGATATATTTGCTTCTGTAGGTTGTATTCTGTAGGTTTTCATCTGTTCCACTGATCAATCTCTCTACTTTTTGGCCATTACCTAATTGTTTTAAAGAATTACTGATTTGTGGCATAGTTTAAGATCTGGCATTACTGGGCCCCTTTTGTTCCTATTTCTTTCCAATATTTCTCTTGAGATTCTTGACCTTTTTTCTCCTGCCATATAAATTTCATTATTATTTTATTCTAGTTCTATGTAGTAATCCTTTGGTAGTTTGATTGGAAAGGCACTGAATAAATAAATTAATTTAGGTAGTATTGCCATTTTTATTAATGAGAAAATTAAATAGCAGTATAGAAGAAGCTAGATTTAGACCAACACCTCACACTTTATATAATCATAAGCTCCAAATGGGCATATGACCATTATATGTAAAAAGTCATATCATAAACAAATTACAGAAACATGGAAAAAAATTACCTATCAGATCTATGAATAGGAGAAAAGTTAATGATCAAACCAGATCACAGAAGATAAAATAGATAATTCTGATTACATAAAATTAAAAAGTGTTTGTATAAACCAATCTAGTTAAGCTAAGAACAAAAGAGAAACAACTTGGGAAAAAATTTTTGTAAGTTTCTCTGATAAAGATCTCTTTCACAGAATATGTAAGTAGTTGATTCAAATTTGTAAGAAAAAGAGCCATTCCCCAATTGATAATCTAAGCATATGAACAGATAGTTCTCAAAATAAGAAGCCCAGACTGTCTATGAAAATATGGTCCAAATTACTACTAATCAGGGAAAATCAAATTAAAGCAATTCCGATATTCTAACCTATACCCCAACGGAGTAGCAAAGATGACAAAAAAAAAGAAAATGGTAAATGTTGGAGGGGCTGTGGGAAAACAGCCACATTGATGTACTGTTGGCAGATCTAAGAATGGATACAATCACTCTGGAAAGCATTTTGCAATTACATACAAAAAGTAATAAACAGTGAATACCTTTTGACCTAGTTTTACTAATGTTAGACCTATACTCAAAATATATCAAGGAAATAAGAAGTTTCCTATGTACAAAAATATTTACAGCAGCTATTTTTTGTGGTAACAGAAAACTAAAAACTAACTGGAGGTCCATCAACTGAGGAATGACTAAATAAGCTGAGGTATGTGAATGTGACTGCAGGACTATTGTGCTCTAAGAAATGAAGAAAATGGTGATTTCAAAGACTTATAAATATAATGGAAACACTTAGATGAACTGATACAGGGTAAAGTAAGTAGAACCAGAAAAACAATTTATACTATATCAAAATTGTAAAAGGGAAAAATAAATAAAAATTTGATAAATATCAATATAAATTAAAAAAATAAAAATTTGAGGGCTTTTATAAATAGATGAAGAATGAAATGAGTAAAATCAGGAGAACAATTTATACAGTAATCACAAAACCATAAAAACAAACAACTCGGAAGTTTTAAGAACCATGACCAATATAAGGATCTTTTATGATTCCAGAAGACTGATGATGAAACATGCTATCTATTACAGAGAAGTGATGGATTTAGAGTACAGAAAGATATGCATACATATATTTGCATACAGCCACTGAAGGGATCTGTTTGGTTTGACAATATATATTTGTTACAAGAAAATTGTTTTTCTCTTCCTGTTTTCCCCCCAATAGAGTGGCTGAAAAGGAGAAAAATAGATTTCTATTAATTTTTTTTAAAAGGGATGTGAGGGGTGTGACAGATGTAAAATGCTGCAGTCACTTTCAGATGAAGTCATTGTATTATTAGTTTTGTTTAACTTTTACTTTGTTGTGTTTTACTTTGTTATAAGACAGCTTTCACAAAATTGGACTAATTTGTAAACATTTGTAATGTAAAAACAAAACATATAAATAAAACTTTTTAAAAAATCAAATGGAAAACAAAAAAGTCATTACTCTGGCCAATCAGGTGAAGAAACTCTCCCTTATTTAGCTAGGTCTGTCACTAGGGCTATAGCTGAAACCTTTCCAGCTTGGAAGGCCCTGCCAGATCATGATCCTAGCATATCCACACCTTGAGGAGGCACAAGAAAGAGCTCTGGTAGAGGATATTCATTTATAGTGCTTCAAAATTACTAAGCAATACAGCATATATTGATATGGACCTATGATTTCATTGTTGTAGAAAATTCTAAGTTGAGAAGACCTTAGGTTTTAGGAATTACCAGGGGCACTGAGAGGTGAGGAGATATGCCCTGGGTCTCATGGCCTATGTGTATGAGAGACAAGACTTGAATTCACACTATCCACTTCCCCACAATGCCTCCTTATTGACATATATTATCTCATTTTATCCTTACAACCCTTGAGAGGCATCATAGTCGTGGAAGAAGCAAAAAGTTTAGAATCAAAAGGCTGCCCTTTCTTCCTGTGCATGGCTTAAGGCAGGGCATAAAACCTCCATGAGCCTAAGTTACCTCATCTGTAAAGTAGGAATACTAAAAATGACATTAATTACCTCACCAAGAATTTTGTTAGGAAAGTGCTATGTAAAATATAATGCACTTATGCTACAATGTAATTACTATGAAAGACAAACAATATTAGGAGAATACTATCTCCAGTTTAAAGACAAGGAAGATTCAGTAATTTTCCCAAAGTTACATGGCCAGCAAGTGGAAAGGCTGGACTCCAACTCAGAAATGTGGCCATAACTCTATTACAAGGTACTGCCTTTTAATAATCCATTCATCATATTAGACACTGGACAGAAGACAAAGTCAAAACCACATCTCAGAAATGTCATCATGATTATATTTTACTTCTCAATGTCCAGCATAAAACAGTGATTTGCATCTTGCAGGGCCGTCAAGAAGCAGAGGGATTAGGCGTGTGCTTCAACAGAACAGACAGAAATAGAAGCAATGGGCAGAAGTTG